GGGAGGACGAGACGCGTGTGAACGAAGCAACATAGGGTGGGAGCGCAAGACAGGCGAGGCAGGACGAGCACGGGAGGGACGGTGAGACCAGACGTGGGACGGAGGAGTCGGGTCAGGAGACAGGGGAGGGGACACAGGAGGGGAACGAGGGGGGAGACGGGCCGGGGACGAGTCCGGCGGAGGGAAAACAGGGCCGTAGACAGGAAGAGGAGGAGACGGGCGGGGAGGAACCGACGCAGGGTCGGGGGACGGAAGGCCGAGCAGGCGAAGGGCGGACACCGGTGGGAACTGCTGCTGCGGCTGCACAACGGCGACACCTGGACCGCAAGCTGCTCCTCGGCTACCACCGGCACTCTCCACACCCGCACCCCCAGAGGGACCACCCGCAGGGCGACCGGGACGAGCACCCCCAGAGTCAGCGAACGGGGGCGGCGACGGCGGCGGCGGCGGCGGCAGCGGCGACGGCGACGGCTGCAGCGGCGGCAGGGGCGGCGGAGGAGGGGACACCTGGGGAGGGGCGGCCGGCGAGGACTGCACCGGAGGGCCACCAGAGTCAGAAGACTCCTCAACCGGGTCCACGGACGGAAGGGGGGTGACGTGGGAGACACCAGAGGGGGCGGGACGGGGAGGAGGAGGAGGAGGGGCAGGGACTACCGGGGAAGGGGTGACCAGGAACAGGGGGGGGGTAACCGGGGGACCACGGTGGGGGAAGCGGCGGTAGTAGGAGACGGACTCGTCAAAGGTGACGTCACGAGAGTGAAAGAAGCGGTGAGACGGCGGGTGGTAAAAGTGCCAGTCGGACGCGTCAAGGGGAAAACCGAGGAAGACGCAGGGAAGGGTGCGGGCAGTGAGCTTGTCCGTGCCGGAGGCACGGACGTGAGCAAGGCAGCCCCAGACGTGGAACGCAGACGCGTCACCAGGAGACCCAGTCCACAGACGGGTCGGCGAAACCTGCGGCTGCTGAGGGTGCGGCCACAGGTTAAGCTGGTGAGAAGCGTAGCGCACAGCGAACGGCCACAGAAAATGGGGTGCACCGGCATGGACCATGGAGGTGCGAGCGACCTCCATGACCAAACCGATGCGTCGCTTAGCGACCCCATTCTGCTGTGGGGAGTCCGGTAGGGTGAACGTCTGGGTGATGCCCTCCGCACGACAAAAGCGACCAAGGACACCGGAGGCAAACTCGCCACCACGGTCTGAGTGAAGACGCAAGACAGGGAGACCGCGGTGGACACGCGCAGAGACAAGCCAGGGGATGAGAGAGCCAGGCACGTCGGCCTTGCGCTCCAGGGGAAAGACTGTGGTGTAACGAGTGAAGTCGTCGACAAGCACAAGGAAGTAGCGCTCGCGACGCGGCCCAGGGACGGGGGCGGGGCCCCAGACGTCCAGGTGCAGGGTCTGCAGCGGCGCGGCGGTAGGGGGGAACGAGGAGGAGTGAGGGGCACGGCGAAGCCGACCCTCGACACAAGGCGTGCAAGGTGGAGCTGGGGAGGAGGGAAACGCGGGAAGTGAACCTGGGAGACCAAGGACAAGACCGTGCTGGGACATGTGACGCAGACGCAGGAGCGCAGGGTGACCTAGGCGGTGGTGCCACAGGAGGGTCGGGTGAGTGAGGGAGCGACAGGAGCAGGCAGCAGCAACCTGGGTAGACACAGCCACCTGAGGGGGCGCTCCAGCCGGGGGGGGCACGGTGTCCAGAGTGAACAGGCCGGATACCGGGTCCCGGGGGAACGTGGACAGGGGGGCACCAGTGGCGGCCTCAGTACTGACAGCATACCGCTCGTGACCAGGGAACGTAGTGGTGACGCCAAGGTCCTGGAGGCAGCCGACACCAACTAGGTTCCTGGAGAACGAGGGGATATGCAGACCTGTAAGAGAGCCCGACGGAACCGCCGGACAGGGAAGGGTGGTGGAACTGCGGGCGACTACCGGACCGCCGGAGGGGTCAGCAAGAGAAACGGCAGCAGGAACAGGAAGCGGCGTCAGGGTGGTGGAGTCGCGGAAGAAACACCGAGAGGCGCCAGAGTCCAAGGTGAAGGAAAGCGAAGCCGAGGGGGCTGGCGACGGAACGACGGCAGAAGCACCAAGACTACACAAAGCAGGGGATCCTACGCCTGACGCAGCAGGGGAGGGTACACTAGGCACACCTACACTAGGCAACAGTGAGTAATAAGCCGGAAGCACACTAGAGTCATCAGCATACATCACATGCAGAGCAGAAACAATGGCATCCATGTCCATATCAAAGATATGAATCTGTCGACTAAGCAAACTGTGCCAGTCCGGGAGGTCTGGCGACGGGCCGAAGCGCTGACGAAAGAGGTCGTCCAGGCAACGAAAACAGCGGGGAGTGGAGTGACCGATCTTACCGCAAACGAAGCCGCGGCGAGGACCGGTCTGGATCTGGTACTGACAACGCCCGCCGGCAGAGCCACCACGCGGCACACCAACACGCGCCCGTCCACCGCCAGCGCCGGGCCACCCTGGCGGGAGGACACTCGTCTGCCGCGTCTGCAACGGCTGCTGCGGCTGCTGCGAAGGCTGCGACTGCGGCGGCTGCTGCAACTGCAGGGGCAGCGACTCAGCTGGACTGGGCAGGGTCCCCTCGTCCGCTCCAGCACCAGGCGACCCGACCCCACCACTACCCCCGCCCGCACCCCCGCCGCCCCCTCCGCCGCGCCCAGCCTTGGGGCGGCAGCCCTTCCCAGAACGGGCCTGCGCTGCAGCAGCAGTCTCAGCCACTGCGGCAGAGCCGTCGGAGAAGGTGCACTGAGCGAGGGCACAACCCTGAAAGATAGGGACAGGCACGACACCGCTCGCCTGGCCGATGGAGCGGTGACGGGTCTCTATCACAGTCAGGGTGTCGACAAAGTCAGTGAGGGTGAGGTCTGCGGGGTGAACACTAAGGAAGCGGTCGCGGGCGACAGCAAGGCGGTCAGGGAGGCGGGTGGCAAGCAGGTAGAGGGTAGAGGTAATGGGCGGCTGGTGGGCTCTAAGCTGTGCGTCAGTGCAGGCGGCGCGCCAGGTCTCCTCTATCGAGCGCAGGTGGGCAGCGAGGTCAGAGACAGTGGGGAACGACGCAAGGTCAGGAAAGAGCAGCGGGAGGATCAGGCGACCCACCGAGGCAGCTGGAGGGGTGGAATAGCGCTTGATGACAGCATCTAAGTATGCCTGAGCAGTAGTGAGGGATCTAAAGCGAGGACACTCGGACGGGGGGAGGGCGTTGCTAATGGCAAGCTGGGCGACAGCATCGCGAGAAAGCCAGACAGAGCGCGCACGGGCAGTGGCAGCAGTAGACTCACGCTCAGTGGGTGTGGGGTCAGCGGGCAGAATAGCAGGAGGGTCTGGGCAGGGGAGCGTACCGTCAAGATGTGCGGAAAGCGGTTCACCATCCTGCCGCTGGCCAGTGAGTTGGCGGCGGAGGTCGTCAAGCCACGCCTCGAACTCTAGGGGCTGACCTTCAGCGTCGAAGCGAAGCTCCGCTGCCATCAGGAACAGTCCAGTGCGGTGCAGGGCGGTGCAGTGCAGTGCAGTGCGGTACAGTGCGGTGCAGTGCGGTGCAGTGCGGTACAGTGCGGTGCAGGGCGGTCCAGTGCGGTGCAGTGCAGTGCAGTGCGGTGCAGTGCGGTACGGTGCCGTGCAGTGCGGTGCAATGCGGTGCAGTGCGGTGCAGTGAGGTGCAGTGGCGGTACTGTGCAGGGCTGTGCTGGGCAAGGTGGGGGGGAACCGTACCAGGGAGGAGGACGGGGCCGGGGCAGCGGGGCCGGGCAGGTGCTACCGGGCCGGGCGAGGACGCCGGGGCCGGGCTGGCGCGACGGGGCCGGGCGGGCGCGACAAGGCCGGGCTGGTGCGACAGGGCCGGGCCGGGGCGACGGGGCCGGGCGAGCGCGACGGGGCCGGGCAGGGGCGACTAGGCCAGGCGGGGGCGACAGGGCCGGGCCGGTGCGACGGCGCCGGGCGGGCGCGACAGGGCCGGGCTGATGCGACGGGGCCGGGCGGCTGCGACGGGGCCGGGCGAGCAGGACGGGGCCGAGCGTGGGCGACGGGGCCAGGCTGGTGCGACAGGACCGGGCGGGCGCGACGGGGGGCCCAGGAGGGGCGCTGCAGGGGCCCAGGAGGGGCGCGACAGGGCCCAGGAGGGGCGCTACGGGGCCCAGGAGGGGCACGACGGGGCCTGGGAGGGGCGCGACGGGGCCTGGGAGGGACGCGACGGGGCCCAGGAGGGGCGCTACGGGGCCCAGGAGGGGCGCGACACGTCCCAGGTGGGGCGCTACAGGGCCTGGGAGGGGCGCGTCGGGGCCCAGGAGGGGCGCTACGGGGCCCAGGAGGGGCGCGACGGGTCCCAGGAGGGGCGCTACAGGGCCTGGGAGGGGCGCGACGGGGCCCAGGAGGGGCGCTACGGGGCCCAGGAAGGGCGCGACGGGTCCCAGGAGAGGCGCTACGGGGCCTGGGAGGGGCGCGACGGGACCCAGGAGGGGCGCTACGGGGCCTGGGAGGGGCGCGACGGGACCCAGGGGGGGGCGCGACGGGGTCTGGGAGGGGCGCGACAGAGCCCAGGAGGGGCGCTACAGGGCCCAGAAAGGGCGCGACGGGGCCCAGGAGGGGCGCTACGGGGCCCAGGAGGGACGCTACGGGGCCCAGGAGGGGCGCTACGGGGCCCAGGAGGGGCGCGACGGGGCCTGGGAGGGGGCGCGAGGCGGCCTGGGAAGGGGCGCGACGGGGTCCAGGAAGGAGCGCGACGGGGCCCAGGGAGGGGCGCGACGGGTCCCAGGAAGGGGCGCGACGGGGCTAGGGGGGGGTCGCGACGGGGCTAGGGGGGCGAGCGGAAGCGGTAGGTGGGGGGGGGGGGATCCTACCTACGCGTGATACCATATCAGAAATTGAAGTGTTGATGATACAGAGAGAGTACACACAATATAGCTAAGTGTTGTACCCTCTAAGAGGCTACCCTATACAGTCTATACAAACATAACACATAGACATGTTTGACATAATCTACAGTAACTGCATAAGTTATGTTTGACAAAACCCTGGTGTAGTAGTATCACAAGGTATTCCTCCTAAAAACCACTATGAATACTCGTAAAAGCCCACTACCCTAAAAATTCCCACTTCTATTCCTAGCCTGGAGCCTCTTGCATCTTCTGAGGATGGGAGTCTTGCATCTCCTCAGGACGGCCCCCCTCCGTAACTGTGTTTCGTTTGAATCACCCCACCACCTTTACTTGCTGTCAGAGACAGCCAGCCATGCATCTACCTTCACTAAAATCACACCCCTTCCTGCCCTCCCCTGCTCCTGATACAATCACATCTCCTTCAAATCACCAGCAGGAACGCCCAGGAGCAGCAGCCTTCCACCTCCACCTGTACCACTCGCTACACCCACACCCACCCTCTTGCTCCTGCTACAAGCACTTTATTAAATCACCAGCAGGAACGCCCCAGCAGCAGCCCTGAGCCTCGCATCAGCATCCCTGTGCCTTGCATCAGCAGCCTTCCACCTGCACATGCACCACTCGCTACACCCACACCCACCCTCTTGCTCCTGCAACAAGTACGTTGTATTAAATCACCAGCAGGAACGCCCCAGCAGCAGCAGCCCTGAGCCTTGCAGCAGCCGCCCTCCACCTGTCCTCGGGAGCAGTAGCCGCCATCAGAGACACCTGACCCCTCGCTACACTCACACCCCCTGCTCTCTACTACCCCTGCTCTTGACACTACTGCACTTGGTACATTCACGTCTCCTTCTAAATCACCAGCAGGAACGCCCCAGCAGCAGCCCTGAGCCTGGCAGCAGCAGGCCTCCACTTGTCCTCAGGCCCAGTAGCAGCCATCAGATACACCTGTCCCCTCGACACACTCCCAACCCCTCCTCCCCTCCCCTGCTCCTGCTACAATCACACCTCCTTAAATCACCAGAAGGAACGCCCCAGCAGCAGCCCTGAGCCTGGCAGCAGCAGGCCGCCACTTGTCCTCAGGAGCAGTGGCAGCCATCAGGTAAACCTGACCCCTCGCTACACTCACACTCATCGCCCCATGCAACGCCTTGGGACCCTTTCCCGTTACAAACTCGTACAAATAATACGTCCGTGTCGCACGCCTGGGTGTAGCCGTGAAAGCCCGTTTGGCCAATACCCTCGAGCCAGGTGGCACGAAGAGATTGGCCACTTCCTCAATCGGGCCGAAATCAGAAACATCTTTGGGCTCGAAGAACGAAAGTTTTACGTCAGCTGCCCGGCGGTAAATTACCGTGATTACTTCCGATTCGTCCGGGGAGACAAACCGGGCAAGCAGCGGGTTTTTTTTCGCCCGGTTTTCGAGGCCCAGAGTTGACATGGGGGCGTTGAGCTCCTCTTCGTCGGGCTGCGGCGTAACGTCGACGAAACCGGGTGGTAACCGCACGGCGAAATCGTCGCCGCGCACTCGCTGCCAGCTGGCGACGTCAAGGACTTCGCTGGCAGGGCGAGGCGGGGAGGATGAGGAGGGCCGTGTGGGCGTGGTGGGTGGGGAGGGAGGTTCGGAGGAAGGCAGGGTGGGAGGTTGGTTGGAAGACTGGGTGGGAGTGGTGGGACTGCTGCTGCTGCTGCTGGTGCTGCTGTTTGGGGTGGTAGAGGGCAAGGAGCCCGCTTCTAGGGTTGACGTTGGTGTTGCTGCCGGCGCTGGTGCTGGGGATGCTTCGGGTGCCGCTGCTGCTGCTACTGCCGCTGGTGCGGGTTCTCCTACAATCACGCTCGCTTCAGCCACGCTCGCCGCCTCGTCAGCAACGGCTAAGCCCGGAAGCAGCGGCTGCGCGAGCAACGCGGCGGAGAGAGCGGCGGTAGACGTGAGGAGGTCCCTTCGCGTGGCGGCTGCTGCTGTACTCGCTGGTGGGAGGGAGGAGGGGGATACGGAATCAAGGGTTGCGCGTGCCTGTCCGCGAAATTTCGAGCATCCTGGCGATGAGATTGGCGACGTTCGCAAATGCAGCTGGCGAGATGCCAACCAGGATCGCGACGACAAGCCTGACGCTTGAGACTCGGCTGACGTGGATCGGCGCCAGGATTGCAGCAATGATGCTGATCGAATATCAGTCGAGACGCAATGCGGTGCCAGGACGGACGCCATTGGAAGAAACCACCGCGAATGGCCGAGAGTGCGGTAAGTCACAAGGAGATTCCGAGGTGACAGAGGGTCGTGGAAAATCACACGAAAGGATCTGGCGATTGAAAAAAGATAGAAACGGTAGACTGGCGGCTACTAGTGTAGTCTACAGCTGATCGCTGATTGGTCTATGTAGCCTGTGTTCCGTTGAGTGAGCGACAGAAGAGGAAGAGGAGGGAACTATACGCGTTATACCGTTACCTTTTTGTCGGCAAGAACTGGATCTGGATGGAAGAAACGCCCTTTCTAGAATGTAATGCGGAAACAAATTATGTGTCGTCCTGCGATTCTATCCCGAATGTTTCACTTCGAAATCTGCCGAGTGTCACCATATAATCTGGGGGACTGCTGATGTGGCTGCCATTCTGTTTCCACCACGTCACACATCCCACCCGACACCTCTCCGTGTACACGGTGGCCTCATATCGCTCCTGTTGGTCAATGGCCACACCTCCCTCGCTCCGCGGCCGCCTCCTGGCTGCAGGTAACGTCCAGTCAGCGACGTCGCACAGACGTCGCTGGAAAACGGCACAGTATTTCGCACCAATTTTCGTGCTTTCGCCGCAGCATTTCGCAGCACATCCGCCGCCACCTGGCTGGCTCAAATCTCACTGGCTCCTGCTCCATCCCACTCCTCGCTTCTCTCAAGAGAAGGTGAATGAGTAGAATCTGCTAGGAGATCACCGTTCATTTCAGTAGTCCAGCTTTGAACTAGGCTCATGATTCTGATACCTGAAGTCCTCTCTTACGATGGAAGCACACGAAGGATGCTATGCACTGTACGTAGATAACACTTGTCCGTTGCAGCGTGAAAGCTCCTCGTGTTGACCTTGCCTCGTCGTCGTCGATTCGTCTTGGCAGCGTCACTGAAGCTGAGATTTTTCTCATGGCTTCTTCCACACGACGGATGTCAAGTTTCCTCTGTCAATAACTACGGAACCGCCAGTCGTCTACGCAACAGGTGCTAACGTCAAGTATCTTAGGGCCTCGTGCTCATCGTTATAGCGACTTGCTATCAGCGTTCGTTTTAGGCCACTTCTGCGAGGCCCTTCAGACCAAACCCTCACTCAGAACAGCTTCTCTGGCTGCAATCTAACAGCGTCAGTCAGTGCTCCGGCAATCATGAATATTCCTGCTCCAGGCTCCGTTTCCGTTCGCAGCTCGTCTCTTGTCCCTCCGCCAGGCACTCGCATTTGCGTCGCTGCATCACCTAGATCATTGCCGTCCGAAAAGGACAGACAGTCCCGAACACATGACAGCTTTCGGCTACGAGAAAACCCGCGAAACTCGATCAGAGGAATTCCCGGAAGAAGGTGCTTGTGGAATGATGAGACGCCTCATTGCTGTAAATCTTATTCCTTGAGGAGTGTGAGAAGCAGTTCGAGGAGCAGTTTGGGAAGCAGCTTGGGAAGCAGTATGGGAACTGGCATCAGAAGCAGCATGAGAACACTCTTGAGAAGCAGTATGAGCAGTAGTGTAAGAACACCCATGAGCAGCAGCAGCCTCAGGTCGGAAGCGTTCAGAGACAGAATGAGATCAACGGCTGCAGAATCCCCTTCTTCCAATATGGTGTCGAGATCAACGGCTACGATTGGAGTGTCCAAGAGCGTGGACCGTCGCGATGTTCTCCGGGTTGTTTGTTCAACATCGGAAGCTTCCAGTCAGGCCGCGTCGACTCAGGTCAGTCTGATCCTCGTTGCAGGGTTTATGCAAATCTGGATAAGACTGAACCCTGGAATACCGCCTGGAAAAGGCGGCAGTCCACACCTCTTAGATTCCTATGGAGCAAGTAACGTCTGATCCTGTGATTCTGACACACAGCAAGAAGACACGGCATCCCTGTCTAGCCAAAAACACAGTTCACGTATTTTTGGTGGCTGAGGAATTGCGTCCGTAATGAGATTGAATAACATTTATTAACGCGGAATTCCTCTCATTTCCCGCTGACACTAGTCTGCTGCCTTTTTCCACCACTCATCTTCCCTTAAACCTCTCTACTCCCCTTACCTTTGTCCGCCATTGCAGAGACAAAGCGAATTAAGGATGGCGCAGCATACCCAACAACCGGAGCAACTATCTCAACAGGCAAGGCAGGAACCACAGTCCCAGCAACCCTGGCAGCAGCAGCAGCAGCCGCCGTGGCAGCGACAGCAGCAGGAGCAGGACCAGGCAAAGCAAGGGAAGAAGGCGGGGCAAGGGAAGACCCAACAGTCCCAGGCGCAATGGCAGGCGGCCATCAGCAAATCCGGCGTGCAGTCAGCCGCAGCACCCATGGGAACCGAGCGGCACCTCGCCACAGCGATGCTGTTCCTCGTAGCCCTCTCGGTCTGCCTCTGGCTGGACGTGAAAACCGCAACGGACCTGCTTGTATCGGGTACGAGGGCGTTCGTGCAGCTGACAGCCGTCGGATTGGGGCTCAAGTACATCTTCACCATTGACAGCTCGCACCCTGTCTTCGTCGCCGTGGCAGTCATGGTAAGCAGGAATCAGGAAGGGGAGGGGCAGTCATGGTAAGAAGAGACCATGCAGGGCATAAGTAACATCTTAACCACGTGCAATCTCAAAGGAATCTTCGCCATTGACAGCTCGCACCCTGTCTTCGTTGCCGTGGCAGTGATAATAAGAAGGGACCATGCAGGGGGGGAGAAGTAGAAGCATGAAATTCTTCTGTTAACCCCCCTCTGATTTCCTCCGGTCATTCCCTGGTCACCCTGTGTGTTTTCTCGCGCCCTCGCTACCAGGTCGTGATAGCATCCTACACAGCCCCCCAGAGGGCCACTAGACAGCATGCCAATCGTCCCCTCTGCTCTCACTCTATGCCACCCCCCTACCATCCACTCTACCAACCATCCCGCACCCCAGGTCGTGATAGCATCGTACACGGCCTCCCAGAGGGCCAAGTCCATGCGTCGAGGCTAGTGAGCCAAGGTATCCCAACTCACACAATTTCGCCCCCCCTCCACCCCCCTCCCCCCCAGGTCGTGATAGCATCGTACACGGCCTCCCAGAGGGCCAAGTCCGTGCCTCGAGGCTTCTGGGTGGCGCTGGTGGCTGTGGCTACCGGCACTGTCACTGCGCTCTCGCTCCTCGTCAGCTTACAGGTGAGATCTGTTTCAAACCTACAGATAAGGGTGGTTAGGGCTTCAGCTGAGGGCTGATCTGGTGGTTCTGGGTGGCGCTGCTGGCAGTGGTTGGTGGGACTGCTCTCTCACCCCTGGTCACTGTACAGGTTACTGGTGCTACCTCCTCATCGCTCACTCAGCTGCAATACTGGCCTCCGTTCACTCGGATTCTGTACTCTGAGTGCTTTTTTAGTTTACTAAAAAAACACCTGCTGGCAGTGGCTGCTGGCAGCGGCACTGTTCTCTCACCCCTGGTCATCGTACAGGTTACTGCTGTTACCTCTTCCTCGCTCTCTCAGCCGCAATCATGGCATCCATTTCAACCGGATTCTGCACACTGAGACCTTCATTATCATTATCTCCTGCGGGTGATTCTTGAGTTGTCTAATAGACCCCCTACACTGGAACCCTCATCAACTTCATCGTCTCTCGTAGGTGATTCTTGAGTTGTCGAACAGACCCCCTACACCGAATGAGAGCCCCTCATCATCTCGCATGCCACTCGTTCATTCCCTATGCAGGTGGTGCGGCTGCGACCGCGGTTTGTGATTCCCATCGGGGGCATTGTGGTGGGCAGCAGCATGACCATCGCTGCCAACACCATGCAGCGACTGGCGGACGACTTCGAGCAGAGGAGAGGGCAGGTGAGAGGGCAGAGGAGAGGGCAGGTGAGAGGAAACTTTTTGGTAATAGTGGAGAGCGAGAAAAAGGAGAAAATACTTCCAGGATGAACGGAAAAATACCAGTCAATCAGAAAATGTAGTCTGGCAAACGTGATGAGAATGGGGAGTGAAGGGGTTGGGTGAGAGTGGGAGAGGTGTGAATTTGGGAGGTAGGGGTGGGAGCAAAGTGGTTCACAGCGAGATAGGAGAGCATCTTGTCCCCCCGTCAGACATGCACTACCATATCCACCCGGATATAGGCCCCGCCAAAGGATAGCTCCTGAGGCCTATAATGAGGCAAACGGGGCTGTAGACACTTTCCGATTATAGGCCCTCTGCCCTCCCTCCGAGGGGTCACGCTCCGCCTCTATTGGGAACCCCAAAAACAGGTAACAAACCCGAATTCTGCACTAAAATTCGTTACAAACCCAAAAACAGAATTCCGCCTCTTTCCATCCCCCCTCTCACCCTTTCCATCCCCTCTCACCCTTTCCATCCCCTCTCTCACCCTTCCCAACCTCTCTCTCACCCTTCCCAACCTCTTTCTCACCCTTCCCAACCTCTTTCTCACCTTTCCCATCCCCTCTCTCAACTTCATTGCCACCACCACTCTCCCGCACCTCCTCCCTCTCCAGCTAGAGGCAGCACTAGCCCTGAGGGCAAGCCAACAGGAGGCCTCCTTCCCTCTCATCAAACGAGCAGTAGCCGCTGGCTTCGGCCCAATCTCTCATCTCTTTTCACTACTTCCCACCCCATTTTCCCCCACACCAAATTCAGCTGGAAGCAGCACTAGCCCTGGGAGCAAGCCAATGGGAGCCCCCCCCCCCCCCCCTCCATCAGACAAGCAGTAGACGTGGGCTTTGGCCCCACAATAGACTGCACCAAGACATTTGGTCCCGTTTCCCCCCCACACTAGCCACTCCACACAATCCTTTCTCCCCTTCTCACTTCCCAAACTACCATATCCTCTTCTGCCCCCTTCCCCCCCCCCCCCCCCCCCATATGTCTCCAGCTAGAGGCAGCACTAGCCCTGGGCGCCAGCCAATGGGAGGCCTCTCTCCCTCTCATCAAGCGCGCGGTGGCCGTGGGCTTCGGCCCGACGATAGACTACACCAAGACAGTGGGGCTGATTCAGCTCCCAGGCTCCATGACCGGGATGATCATGGGGGGAGCGTCCCCCCAAGAAGCGGTGAATCTGCAGATTACCATCACGTTTCTTCTTTTGGGAGCTCTTTCGCTCTCCTGTATTGTGTCGGCGCTTCTAGCTGCCCCACAGTTTTTTCATAGCCCAGCGCAGCTGCTAGAGACTTGGTGAGACAATTTGTTGTTTCTAGGCCGAGCGCTGCATTGTTCTTGGCACGTTCTAGATCAATGAAGCATGCATGTTGATGTGATTTCCCATGGGCCGTGTTCCCCTAATGCTAGCCTTTAGAGTGTTACACTTAGACAAAAGCTAATGCCTGTCACATAATTGTAGTTGCCAAAACTACGGTAATCGCAGATGACCGTAGGTGAAAAGCGCCGAAGCGATTTGGCTCATTCTGGGCAAAAACGGATAAGGTTGGCAGTGTGGCTGCCGACGCGGCATTTTGATTGGCCGATAATGTGGTAACCAGTCAAGATGTGCAAGAACCCAGTCAAGATGTGAAAGAATGGCCTGCTAGCAGCACCCTAGGGCATTTTGGTCAATACTTGAGGAAAATTTACCAAATGAACCAGGAAATTTATTATTGAGTTCCCGCCCGCCTGCTGCGGCGCAGGCCTCAGCTTGCGCGCGAGCAGGCAGGCTAGGCACTCCTTCGTGAATCGTGACTCGTCCCCCTCGGGATTCGCCGCGCATTCTCCCCCCCACCTTACCCCAACAGAAAGAGCCTTGGGAATTCCCCCATAGCCTGAATGCATTGCCTCCTCATTTTTCCTCTCCTCCCCTCCTGTTGGAGAGATTCTGACTCGGTCAGTCAGTCCTCCCTGAAAGATCCAGTTACCAGTAATGCCAGCAGGATTTATGGCTCTCTGAGTCAAACGGAGGACGCGATTTATGAGAATTTTTTAAGAAGCGCGAGTTTGTGTACGAGCTTCCGATCGCACGACTGTCGCACGTCTGTCGCACGTCAGTCGCACGTCACACACGCATGCCGGACACGCATTATTCGGTGTCCTTTCACAGAAATCGGTGAAGAAATGATGGAGGGACTAGTAACAGCTAGTAGCGCAGCAGCTACTAATGCGGCGCTTGGGCCGAAGAGTCTACTATTTCCCAATCCGACTACTGCAGCAGTAGTATTAATGTCGGTCGGCCTTACTGCAACGACAGGCTTAACAGCAGCAACGACCTCGCCCGGAAACGCCGCGCCGGTTACTGTAACAGCTGCAGCAGTTGCCGGCCAAGCTCGACATCCTCGTTATCGGCCAAGCCCGTTAATAGTACTAGGCGGTCCATTACCATCGGCGGTCAGAGCAGTCAGCCCATCGGCGGTCAGTGCGGCATCGCGGCGAGTGAGGCGATTAAGTCGCATTCGGGCTGCTGCATACGACCCCGCGAATGACGCCGCGAATAACGCTGGGAGTGACGCCGTTCTAGACACCAACGAAAGGCCGTCGGAAGGCGATGACGTCATCATGGCGGGAGATCGACAATCTGATGCTATGCCGGGTGATTCGCTCGCGACGGCCGTTAATGGACTCGTGAGATGCGACCGTGACGGCTGTGGTACCCATAGCTCCAACTTTTGCAACGATGGCGGCATATCGGCGATGGGAGCTGATGTAATGATGGCTGGGCGGAACGCAGCCGTGGAAGCAGCTTCGTGGACGGAGCAACACTTAGGAGGTACACGAGATGGAATTGAGAAACACTTAGTTAAAAGATTGGGATTCGAGCAGCTTTTAGCGCTGAGAGCTCGGAGCAGAGGCAGAGATTCTTGGCCAATCCCCAGCGGACGGAGAGGATTGCGGCACATCGGCGATGTAACAAGCAGAACGCTACAAGGACGCACTGTTACACTGAGTATGCTTCAAGTGGGCACCGTTACAAGCAGAAAGACAGAAGGCGGCATGTGCGGGTATAATTCCGTGGGACAAGAGAGGCATGTAGCAATGATAGTGATGTTTGTACTGGCGCTTTCCATCTGCCTCTGGATCGACTCCAGCACTGCAGCGGACCTGCTAGTAGCGGGTATAAGGGCGGCTGTGCAGCTCTCAGCCGTCGGATTCGGCCTCCAGTACATCTTCGCCATTGAAAGCACTGCGGTGGCATACTCCGGAGTTGCTATCATGGTACGTACCATAGAAACCACTTTTGAGAGTTCTTATAAGCTATAGTCGCCTGTTGTCTTCTAAGTAAGAATGTAGCGATGTTGGAGCTGGTATGGGTGGCCTCTCTAAGAAGCAAGACATGGTATGCCACTCTGCACTCCTTCTCACTCCTCCCCCAATGCAGGTGCTGGCAGCAGCACATACTGCGTCTCGAAGGGCCAAGGGGGTGTCAGGGGGATTCTGGGTGGCGCTGCTGGCGGTGGGAACTGCCGTTACAAGTGCGTTTTTGCTGCTTACAGTCTTGCAGGTATGTGTTTTTTATGGGGGCATAGTGCTCTCAGTGCACGCATGGGCTTCTGGGTGGCGCTGCTGGCAGTAGGAACTGCCCTCACGATTGTGTTTGGAGGTATGTACGTGGCAGGTGGAAGTTTGTTAATGATATATTTTTTAGACGCCTCAAAACGAAATTACCAGCACATGTGGACATTGGTATGTGGGGCAGGTGGCAGTGCCTTCAAGTGGCGCTCTGACTGCAGGTACGTGCTTTCAAGTGGCGCTCCTGCCAGCGGGAGACGCCATTACACCTGCGTTCTTGCTCCGTGCGGGCCTGCAGGCTGTTGGTTTGGTGCTGTGTAAGTGGCGCTGTTGGCAGTTGGAGCTGCCGTCACGATTTAGTTCCTGCTGCTCGCGGGCTTGCAGGTGGGTGGTTTCAACTTTCAATCGAATGGAGTTGCCTGATTGCAATTTGGGGTGAAGGTAGTGCTTAGAGGGCGGGTATGGTTTTTACGCGGCGCTGCTGGCACTGGGAGCTGCTGGCACTGGGAGCTACTGTCACGCCTGCGTGCTTGCTGCGTGTGGGCTTGCAGGTGGGTGGCTTGAATGGAGGTGTGTGTCGTACGGCTGCGGCCTATTTTAGAGGCGCCTAAAGAATAGACACCTCATGTACGGTATGGTTGCAGTGTCGCGCTGTAATCCCCCCCCACTCAACCCCCACTCCTCGCATTGGGGCGGGGAGTGTCAACCCCCCTTTTCCCTTTCCTACCCTTCCTAGATTTTCAAGGGTGTTTTGGAACCTAAAACACCCCTAGGAGCATCAACCCCTTTCCCCCCTTCCTACCCTTCATACCCTTCCTGCTCTCCTGCCCCAGGTGGTGCGGCTGCGGCCGCGGTTTGTGATTCCCACTGGGGGCATTGTGGTGGTTAACATGCGATGTATCCCTTCCTCCTCCCCACCTACCCCCCCTCTCCCTCCGTTCTCTACTCCCCACCCCACCCTCCCTCTCAGGTGGTGCGGCTGCGGTCGCGGTTTGTGATTCCCATCGGGGGCATTGTGGTGGGCAGCACCAACCCCCTTCTCGGCCCTGGCCTCCCCATTTCCCTGCGTATCCTCCCCCTCCCCCCCCCCCCCCAGGTCGTCCGCCTGCGGCCGTGGTTTGTGATTCCCATCGGGGGCATTGTGGTGAGGAGCATTAACCTGCCTCCCCATCTCTCCCCGTCCGCTCCTCCCCATAACCCCCATTCACCGTTCCCCACCCTCCCTCTCAGGTCGTCCGCCTGTGGCCGCGGTTTGTGATTCCCATCGGGGGCATTGTGGTGGGCAGCAGCATGACCATCGCTGCCAACACCATGCAGCGCCTGGCGGACGACTTTGAGCAGAGGAGAGGGCAGGTGAGAGGGCAGAGGAGAGGGCAGAGGAGAGGGCAGGTGAGGAGACGGGTAAAAGAGAGAGTAAGGATTGCTAAGTGGGGAATGCGGAAAGAAGAGGGTTCAAGGCAGCGTCACCATCGCTGCCAACACCATGCAGCGCCTGGCAGGTGATTTCGGGCAGAGAAGGGGGCAGGTGGGAATAAACTGGTAACATCATGGGGAATGGGGATTGGGGTTGAGAAATCAAGGCAGCAGCATGACCATTGCTGCCAACACCATGCAGCAACTGACAGATGATTTCGGTGAGAAGAAACTGGTAATACCATGGGGAATGGGGAATGGGGAATGGGGAATGGGGTTGCGAATTCAAGGCAGCAGCATAACCATCGCTGCCAGGCAACACCATGCAGCGACTAGAAAGTGGCTCCGGGCAGATACGGGGGCAGGTAAGAAGAAAATAGAAACAAGTGTGCCCCAACCCACCTCATTCCAGCGTCCCCAGCGTCCCCTTCCCGTCTCTCTTCTCTTCTCCTTCCCACTCCAACCCCAAGTATAGGCAGCAGTAGCTCTAGGTGCAAGCCAATGCAGGCCTTTCTTCCCCTCATTTGCCAAGCCGTTGGCCGCACTCTGCTAAACACTTACACCCGTCTTCTCACCTCACTCCCACCCTTCCTCCACGTAGAGGCAGCACTGACACTGCCAATAGCTGGCCTCTCTTCCCCTTATTTGACGAGCCTTAGCAGTGGTCGGTGGCCCCACACTGCTAAACTCTTACACCCCGTCTTCCCACCTCATTCCCACCCTCCCTGAGTTAGGCTTTTGAGAATTCTAAAAAAACTAACACTGCTAAACTCTAACTCCGTCTTCTCATCTCACTCCCACCCTCCCACCAGGTAGAGGCAGCACTAGCCCTAGGCACCAGCCAGTGGCAGGCCATCCTTCCCCTCATTAAAAGAACCCTTGGAGTGGGCTTTGGGCCCAGTCGAGACTCTGACACCCTGTCTTCCCTCTTCTCTACTCCCACCCTCCCTCCAGGTAGAGGCAGCACTGGCACTAGGCGCCAGCCAGTGGCAGGCCTCCCTTCCCCTCGTTCGACGGGCCCTAGCTGTGGGTTTCGGCCCGACGCTAGACTACATAAAGACTTACGGTGTGATTCAGCTGCCAGGCGCTATGGTGGGGATGCTTATGGGGGGGGTGCCCCCCCAAGAGGCCGTTTATCTACAGTTAACTGTAACATTCTTTTTGTTGGTGCCGCTTGCGCTTTCTACAGTTGTTTCGGCGGTTTTTACTGCCCGGAAATTTTTCTCTGCCCCCGGGCAGCTGGCAGAGGAGGGATGGGGTGGTTTGCAATACTCGTGATGTACAGTAGTGGAGATGTAAGTTATCTTCATTATTTTTCATTGTATTTGCCATGTGGTGTGTAAGGAAAACCTTTTTCCCTTAGCAAGCCTCGCTAACACCAAGTACAGCCCTGGCTTTCGGAAGTCCAGGCTCGGCCCGACAACCCAGGTCCCGATCTACGTTCGAGACCCCCAAGCCTATACACAGAGTCGTGCCCGACACTTCCGAGCCCCGATGCACCCAAACCACCTCGCGTGTGTTTCATGGCCCTCCTCGAGGCTCCAAGTGCTAGCAGGGCCAGAAATTGGTTTTAGGCCACCCTTAGGAATCACGGTACCTAAAAAAATGTACCCTAGCATATATTGTAGGGTGGAAATTAGCGTACCTTGTGAGCCAGAGGGGACAGCTGGACAAGGAAGAGTGGTGGTGCTGCGTGCGACTACTGTGGCGAATGAGTCTGCTAGGGGGATCTGGACCGGTGCAAGGAGTGGGATGAGAGCAGTACTGTCGCGGAAGAAGCAGTGAGACGCGCTAGAGTCGAGTATGAAGGAGAGGGCCGCCGTAGGAGGGGCAAGGGAGGAGCCTAGGGCAAGTGTAGTAGAGGCTCCTAGACTAGACACAGTAGTGGAACCTAAGCCCACATGCCCCCAGGCTCCCAGTCCTCCAGAGAAACCAAACTGGCCCTAGGGCAGTGACTGTCCCGGGGCCTCACCTCCAGAGCCTCCACCGTGCCCAACACCCCCAAGACCCTTCTGTGGCTGCTGCCGCTGCTGCTGCTGCAGCTGTGGCTGTTTGCTGCTGCTGCTGTTGCGGCTCCGGCGCTAGCCAGAGAGCCCGAAAGCAGACATCAAGGTAGTGTAGCCAGAAGCCAATGAGGTAACTAATGTGATCCTCTAGGAGTGTGCAGTCTACGTGCGGGCTCACCAGCTACAGACCGTGAGCGAGAAACCGGAGAGCGGAGGGAAGTACCCGGCGGTCTGGCCGAGGGACTGACCCTAACGAGGCCATCATGCAAAGAGGAGAGGCGCCGAAAAACTTTAGAAACAAGGAGGAGACTAGTGGGAGGTACAATGTGCTACAGGAGCACTAACAGAGGTAGTAGAAGTGGTGGTTGTGGCCGGAGCGGTGGTCTGGCAGTGGGAGACTGGTGGCAGCGAGCAAGAGGCTAGTAGCAGCAGCGGCTAGCGGTAGGCTGACGGTAGCAGTAGCTAGTGACAGTAAGACGGCAGTGATGGCTAGCTGGCGGCGGGTTGGTAGTAAGACGTGGCAAGCTGGGATCGAGCTAGCAAGTTGGCACCCCGACGTGCTGGCGAGATGGTAGCTACAGGCAGAGGCTGGTGGCAGCAAGCTAGCAGGTGGCCGGGCAGGCTCTGCTGGCGGCGAGCTGCCAGGCGCTGCCGGCGGCCAGTTGGCAGGCGCTGCTAACGGCTAGCTGGCAGTGAGTCAGTTGGCGGCGGCTAGCTTGCTGCAAGTGGACAGCAACTAGTGAGCGGCGGAAGGCTAGGAGCTGCTAGGAGGAGTGGGGAGCAAACGAGGAGGAAGTAAGCTCGAGAGGAGCAACTAGGAGCAGCACGCCGGAGAGCTAGCTAGGAGTCACTAGGACTGGCGGCACATGGCGAATGACCCTCCACAGGGCACGGGGGGACTCAAGAGGCTGGCGGCTGACTGGTGGCCAACTGGCGACTGGCGGCTGGCGGTCGACTGCTGCTGGTGGCTTGTGGTCGGCGGTTGGCCGCGAGTGGTGGCAGATGGCGGCTGATAGCTGGGGGTCGGCGGCTGGTTGCCGATGGCAGTTGGAGCCGGCGGTCGGCTGCTGGCGGCTGGGGACTGGTGCTGGTGGCTGGGGGCCGGCTGCAGGAGACTGAAGCTGATGGTTGGCAACTGCATTGGCGACAGGAGCGGCAGCGGTGGCAGTGGCAGCTGCAAGGGCAGCGGCGGCAGTGGCGGCTGCAAGGGCATCGACGGCAGCGGCAGGTGCAAGGGCAGCGGCGGAAGTGGCGGTTGCAAAGGCAGCGGCAGCAGTGGCTGCTGTAAGGGCAGTAGGAGCTGTGGCGGTGGCAGCGGTAGCTGTAGTGGCAGTGGGCAACAGCAACAAACGTTGGCTGCTGGCTATTGGCAGTGCGCTGTTGGCGGCTGGCGGCTAGCGCTGGCTACTGGCGCTGGTGGCGCTAGTGAGCCAGCGAGTTGGCTGGTGCAGGCTGCTGGCGCTGGCGAGCTGGTGCTAGCGATCTGGCGTTGGCGAGCTGGCGCTGGCGAGCGGGCGAGCTGGCTGGTTACGTCTGCGAGGCGGCTGCTTGCTGGCTAGCAGGCGGCGGCGAGCCAGGAGCGCGTAATGGAGGGCTAAAGGAGGGTGGGCAGGCTGGCGAGCTGGCTAGTTGGCTGGTGTGCTAGCTGGCTGGCGAGCGAGTTAGCTAGATAGCGCGCTAGCTGACTAGTTGGCGTACGGAACGAGTGAACACTAGGGGAAGGGGGGGGGCGGAGGAAGGACCTACGAAGCGCGAAATTGGAGAGCTGCGTAGCTGAGGGGGACGTGTGTCTTACAGTTCCACTTATGGAAAATTCGGAACAAGTTCCGGCATTGGCGAAACTTTTGCCGCATCAAAATGTGTTGCGATCGGAGTAACCAGTCCAAGATCTGGAATTTGGTGGATTTCCGAAATGTAGGATACACGCCTTGTTTTCCCGCTCATTGCATATTCGATAATTGTCGAAGTTCAAGGGTTTGGAGTTTTCTGTTCCAGGGTAGTTTTCGGCGCTCCTTGACGCCGAGCACCCTTAGTACAGCAGCGTAAAATATTCCTTACACTTTTTTAGGAAGGATCAAAAAAAGGTTTGCCCTTATAAAATCAGGGTATTCTAAAAAATAGCTCATAGCAAGGCTAATCTGGGTAGAATACCCTTGAATTAATGGCCCTGCTTGCTAGGCTAGCTGAGCTTATATTTAGCCCTGCGCTTGATTTGTACTCGACACACTTTAATCACTACCTCTCTATTGCATTACTTGACTTCTATCCGGAGATTATCATAACAGCTGGTACTAGAGTTACGTTCCTGCCCATTTAGGCTTCCGTAGTGAGGTAGTTTTTAGAGGGACCTCGCATATTAGAAGACAATAGCTGTCCAGCGGTCGTACATGGACTTCTTTATTCCCTCCGACTTTGTCGTATGCGCTCCATTCCTCCTCCTCCTCATCCCCAAATTCCCCTTCTTCCTCCAAAAACTGGCCTTCTTCAGCCCCCCCCCCCTCCCTCCACTCCCTCCTCCTCCGCTTCCCCCTCCTCCCCTTCCGCCTGTTCTGCAACAGCAGTTGCAGCTACTGCCAATTCCCACCCGCTCTTCTCCCCCTCCCCCGTGCCTTCGGCCTTCCGCCATCTCCTCTTCAAGCACGTGCAGTGACTCCCTAGAGAGAGCGTGCGGAGCGTTGCCACGCAGAAGGGTCGCTGCTGCATCAGGACTCCTGAAACCCCCGGCCGAAATCAGCGCCCTCCATGGAGGGGCGTCGGCGGAAGTCGCAGACACCTGCGCCGCGGCGGAACCTACGGAGTTCAGCGCACTTGTCGTGGCGTCCGTACCAGCCGATTCCAGCCCTGGACATGCGGAGTCCGAAATCCCCGCCCATACCAGCGCCCTCCGCGAAAGAGAGAGGAAGCCCGTGCGCGCGGGTTTGACGAGGAGGACAACGAGGAAGAGGGGGAGGAGGACGGAGGGGGCGCTGGGGCTTGGGCCAGCCATGGCTGTCCCGACTCGGAACCCAACTGTTTGGGAACCTGGGGTTCAGGAACAAAAAACACGTGTTTAGTTACTCGCCGCAGGCGTCCAAAACTATTTAAGCTTGCACGATTACTAGGAACACGTAACATGAATGTTGCAGTCAAGTGGTACGAATGGGGTGGATCCGCAGTGGGAGAAAGGGTGATGGAATGAAGGCGTGAATGTATAGGGGTCCTTGCGGTGACTCAAGCGCACTTCGGATGGTTATACTGAGCCGACTCCAGCTCAGAGCTTAGAACTAGGCCTGCCGAGCCCTGAGCTCCGGAGGGACCGATCGACGGGCGGCCGGAATCGAAAGTGAGAATTCTCATCTACAGTATGTCGTTCGAGTTGCATCGTCCTATTTGTGCATTTCCATGTGACTCATACGACCTCTCTGCTCCCTTCGACCGCCAAGGCAGACTAACGAGCAATCGCTCCCCTTGATCCGGGGGGGGGGGGGGTGGTGGTGATGGGGGGGGAGGGGATGGAGGAGGTTCCGCCAACCCATTCGGAGCTCGGCGGGGGTTGCTCTATGGTTCCGCGATTGGCTTTGTGGCAATATAATCGTGGTATCTGCGTGTCGCTGCCCGATTCGCTGCCACCGCTCTTTTCTAGACAGCGATATATCGTGCCGTGATGTGCGGTGCCCCATATTTGAGAAATATTTACGAGGGCCGTGGAAGGGGAGAGAGTGGAAAGAGACAGTGTTTCGCTGACTGTGTTTTGCAAAGAGAGGATGTGATCGCAAAGGGGGAAACCTGTTTTCGCGTAAGAGGTGTCGCTTTCGCAGCCGAATGAAGGTGGAACCGCGTCGCATTGCGCGTCATTGCCTTGCGTCGCGTGGAATGGGGAGGTATATTTCTGGAGACAATTACTGGGGAGACAACGCAATGCGCGGGTAATCTGTCTGCGATATACTTGTTAACGTAGAAACGAATGATTACAAGAGGTGGAAACCTAGAACAAATACTAGTTGGTTGTACTCACTAGAAGCATACCTCAGTCTAGCCTATAACTTCTACATAGATAATATGTATAAGTTGACACACCCCCTAGGCTAGACAAGGGGTGAAACTAAACAAGAAGCAAACAGCTCAGGGCGGCACTACTAGTCCAACCACTGAGGCAGGGGTCTGGAGACCAGTCAGCAAGAATACAACCAAAACTGAAGCAAGCCAGGGTGGCACTACTAGTCCAGCCACTGGAGGTAAGGCCACAAGGCCAGTCTGACAAGCATATATAATAGAGAGTACACAATCAGGATCCTAACAGGGGAGCAGCTATAGGAACAAGACCAAGCTGTACACAGTGCCGCTGATGATCT